GGGATGATGACATGGCTTTGCAAGGCTCGCGGGAGGTCAGTCCTGAGAGCCGGGCCGCAACCCATGAGGTGAAGAGAAGGAGGAGGAGAAGGAGAGAGCAAAGTTTGGTGACTAAATGCTGCGGCGAAGGCTTGGATGCAACACAGACGGCAAGCGTGACAGCTTGTCGATTCAGTGAATTTATAATGAGTGTTCTTTTATGCTTCACTTTCTCTTTAACCTTTCTCCTCTCGGTTTAGGGCACCACCGCCTCCCTCTTCTACCCACCACCAATCCTCACCCACATTGTCCTGTCACTGACTCTTGTAGCCCTTTCATCCTGGGGGTAAAAAACAAAGAGTTCTATGAAAGGTGCTTAGTCGCCGCTCGCTCCTTTGTTGAAGTGTCCTAATGATGCAAATGTTATTCTGGCTAATGAGCAGGAGCTATGTTTCGCCCGAGGTTTACCACCCAGCTCCGCCGTCCTGTCTCATGAATAAAAATCCCGGTGTCAGGGTCCAGACGGGTGCTCCTCTCCGCTCACAAGATAATGACCAATATACAGATGGCGCCTCCTCAAACAAGAGGAAGGCAGAAAAAGACAGTTGCAGATTCGTCAGAGAGAAGCAAGCAGGTTTTTTTTATTTTTTGAGGGGGTGGCGGGGGAGGAGATTAAAATGAATTTAAATAAACAACAAGATACCACATTTGAGCAAAAATAAATAAATAAAATAAATTAAAAAAAAAAAAACAGAAAAACTTTGGCGGAACTCTGAACGCCCCCTCACCTGTGAAACTCAGAATAACCTTTTGACTCTGGGTTCACTCTGGCTGTCACATCCACATGCTCTTAAGGAGATATAAACCAACAGCTATTGACTGGGATAAAAAAAAAAAAAAAAACTTACAGCTGTTTGCATAACTCTCCCTTCCCACCTCGCAGCTTAATCCTCTGCGCTTTTTGCCCTTCAGTGTTTCAAAGGCAGCCTGCAGGCTAGAATTGCCCTTTGCTGACTCGTGGCTGACAGTGAATAAGTTCACCCACTCATCTCCCGCCTTTTATCTCTGAGATCATACTCCGAGTGGGTCAAGATCAATGGTGCTCCCTGCAAATCTGCCCAGGCTCTGGGTGCTTCTCATTGACCTCTGCGCCAAGGGGTAACTCGCACTCCCGCCTGACCGTCTTCTGCGTACACATCCGTGGGTAAACTCAGGTTCTGCACGCCGAGTTTTTGAGCAGAGAGAGTCAGGGAGCATGCTGGTTCAGAGTCATTTTTTGCTCCAGCGCTGACTTCTTCTTGAACTTAGCTGTAAACTGCTCTCAGGCTCATGGCTTTCTTAAAGACACAGGTGAAATAACAGTGCCCAGGAAAAGAATTCACTCCACATATTTCTTTAGGTTTTCGAACATTAATATCGGAGGATAATGCAAGTCTGTTGGTTATGTGTCTCCTCTAAGCTTTGCACGCTGGGAGACTGAGTGTTTTCCCCTCCCCGTTCTTTGGAAAACAGCTCAGGCTTGAACAGACTAAATGGAGAGTTTATGTGAAAGAGTTTTACGTTTCAACTTCCCTATTGAAGAATAGTATGATGCTGCCACCACCATGTGCCACCATGAGGGTTGTGTGCACAGTTTTAGATTTCTTCTAGGCGACATGGACTAAATATTTTGTGGTTCTACTGTGGTGACGATAAAAATAATGATAAGAACTACTGACTATGTCGGGGGATTTTTTAGATAAATGTACAGCTGTGCAGCTGCCCCACAAACAGCTCTTGAAAAATGTACCCATTTGTAATGGGAGGAAGACTGAGGAGTGTCTTCTTTAAGACACTACTCATGTAATCAAGAGCGATGTGTATCACTAGACTCCCCACGATAATTACACTTAATCATATTTTCAAATGTATTTATCTTTATTGATGCTATCAATGAACAAATTGAGGGGATAAAAGTGAAAAGACCAAACCTGATGATGTGGAAATTTGAGGGATTTGTTTAAAAAAAACACCATTAACTGGAATATATTATGACACTGATCAATTAAAAGTCTTGTCATAATGAGAAATTTGTCATGATAAACGATGAATGATAAAAAAAAAACTCATAGCTCTACTCAAGAGATATAAAACTTTTTATTGACAACTGCATAAAATGTGATCATCACCTATCTTTATGGCATTATGGCACTTTATGTCTTCTCTTGAATACATATAAGATTTATTGTAATGCAACCGTGAAAGGGCAGTCCTATTGCAAACATTGTGACATATTATATTTAACATCACATTCAGATACTGTTCTAGGTGACGTCACTACATTTTGAACACTAATGATAAAAATAACCATGGAGGCAAAGTGATCTCTTTGCAATTATGCTAAAAAAATATATGATTAATGTACTGTATTGACTAAGTTGAGGGAAAATAAAAGCTATCTCTTAGGGAATATATATATATTTTTAAAGGTTTTATTGACTCTAGTGGCCTTTATGTGATAATGAATTGATATGTAGGACACGTTGCAAAGTTCGCCAGGCCAGGAATTGAACCTACGACGGCCGCATTGAGGACCAAGGCCTCCTTATGTGGGTTGTGCTTAACCCCTGTGCCACCACAGCACCCCCTTGGGGCATATATCTCATAAAAGCGACAGGTAAATGAAAACATTCTGCTCATAAAAGTAAAAAACAGGAGTAAAATTCACTGCATCATGACAACAAAAGCACAAGGGGCAATGCTACCACTGTCCTCAGGCCCAATAACGATTGCAACAGCAGCGATAGCAGCGATAGCAGCCTGGTCCCAATCCAGCTGAGGCTCTCATCCAACAGGCTTTCCTCTGAGGCCCGCTTCAACAAGATGGATGACGAGCACCGAGCTCCTAACTGGGCGCACTCGGCCCAGACACTACTGGGTCCGAGCTGAATAAAGGGGGTGGCGTTCCCTCGCCTGCTCTTCCCTAATAGGAGGCACTGGATGCGAGACAGGAGCCCATAAATAACGCCGTCGGCTCGTCACCAGAAAAAGAACACTCTCACCTGAGCTGGATCACTCACAGAGAACACTGGGGAGAGGCGCAGTGAACGAGTGCGAGGCCGTAAAGTGGGGCCGAGACTAGAGAGTAGACTGAAGGTAGGACACAGGTACACATCATACAGTTTACTCTCTCCTTACCTTTGCAGAGTTTTGAGCTTTTGCATTTACCATGGGCTACATTAAAAAAAAGTTGTATTTTCCTCAGTGCTGGTGCTCCAAGCAGTGGAAAGGGGGTTGTAAGTCCAGAAAAGAAGCTAATTACATTCAGTAAACTGTCCTGGTAAGATCCAAGAAGGTAACCAGTACGTTATGTGACGTGACTGTAATTTCTGTAAAAGATCTAGAAAATCACCTGTTAAATTTCAGTAGCTTAGCAGAAAATTATCTAGTACGTTCTGGATAGTACCTGATTCTGAAATTTAATCTTCGACTTCAGGGAAAGTATCAAACTTCTGAGAAAGACATAATCAATAAAAAGTCAATAAAAATTAAATGAAAGTATCTGGGAAGTTCCAGATTAATACTTGGTGTGTTCTGGACAGAATGAAAGTATGAATGAAAGCTTACATACAAAACAAAAGTATGTAAGCTTCGTATAAGTTCTTGGAATGTTTTATTAAAATAATCTTGGAAAAATACCTGGAAAAGTATACAGTACAGTTACTTTTGCTTTTCAGGAAAACTATTTAAGTTTTAAGAAAGTAACCAAAAGAGTTATAGGAAAGCAGCAGGTTAAATCCCAAAAGATATTTGATCAGTTTTAGAAAGTAACCACTGAGTTATAGGAAATAATATCTTGGTTTCAGGAAAAGTAACCGGCAAGTTCTCATGAAAGCTCTGAGTTCTGTACTACGTATAACCATGTAAGTCCTAGAAAAATATCTGCTAAGTTCCTGAAAGTGTCTTGTAAGTTCTAGAAAGTAACATCAAAGCTTGTGGAAAGTACCTGTTATTTCCTACCTGGTAGGTTCCAGGAAAGTAGCGATAGATTACAATGAAAGTTACAGATTTCAAGAAGTTCTGGAAAGTTCAATGAAAGTAACTATGGTCCATTAAAGTTCCACGGTACAGTCTGGTAAGTACTGGAATCGAAACTGGTGAATAAATAGTTCTACAATTAAATGACTACATTGGGTTATGGTTTGGAATTTCTTTTTATGTCGTGAAATAACTTTTAGAAGAAGATGTAAGAGTTTGAACTTAGCAGAACGCTCATCCTCTCCTTGACCCTCACACAGAAGACTTGTAAACATAACAAGGTTGACAGAAAGACTGACAGCAAGCTCAGTGTGAGGGCATCCCAACATCAGATCAATCAACTTCATCAGATTCTCAGGCTGGCCGTCAATTTCTCATCTGGGTTATCCAAGTTCGCTTCGCCTTGAATAAAGGTAAAATAAAGGTTTTCGCTCCAACCTGTCAAACTTTCAGATCAACAACATGTCATTATTACAGAGTTTGGACCTCAGCTATGGTTGGCTGCAGTACATACAAACAAAACTACTTTACCAGTGAAGTCAAACAACAGTTGCACAGATCCATAACCCAATCAAAGTCTTACAAAATAAAACTTGGCTACAACGATCACAAAATTAAACTGCAGCCTTAAACAAGTAATGGATTAAACATAATAATAATAATAAAAATACTAAAAGAAAACCACAAAAAGGTTTGTTTTTGCCCAATAAGTCGTCCTGATATTCAAGAAAACTCTAAATTAGGATGGTAGGTCGAGTTTTGTCATTGTAATATGACAAATGTGGAAAATGTAAATAATTTAGTAAAGTCTGCTGTGTTTATTTTATCACAGCACGTTATAACTCACGTGGGTCGTGTACGGTGAATTTGAAGTCTACGGTGCAGGAGAAAGCGTACCTCTCTGAAGAACACGCACACCTGGTATTCAAGCTAATTCCTTGACCAAAAAAACAAAACAAAACACAATTTCCCATCAGGCATTGAGAACAGTGCAGCGTCATGACGTCATGCGGAAGTAAACTAGCCAATATGGCTGCGTCCTTGACCGGCATGTTTTGGTTTCAGTGAAGTGATAAACATGCGCTGTAGTCGTAAATTTACATAGAGGTTGAGTGTTAATAGAGCCGAGTGAAGGGAAAATGGAGAGACGACAGTTCGTCGCGTCTCTGGTGGTAAGACGGACGCTTTTATGCTTTTTTTTTCTTTTTCACTGAGTCGTGTTTAAAAGAGATAGACTGAATATTGTGAAGCAGCTGCCAAAGAACACAATTCTTAAACGTGACAGTCTTACAAAACAAACACTTTTACGTATTCTCTCTTAACTGTGTAAAGCACACGTTTTCATGAAGAAAAACTACTCGTTTAATATGAAGATAGGATGAAATATATGCAGTTGCAGTAGGATAAAAAAAGTGTTCTAGTGTGTGCTTTAAAAAAAATAAAAAAATTGAATCTCAAAAGATGCCTGTCTTTAGGCAGGAGGCTGCGCCGGGATGTGTGTGGATCTGACCCTGTTCCCATTAGACACCATTAAGACCAGACTGCAGAGTCAGCAGGGCTTCCACAAAGCGGGGGGCTTCAGGGGAATCTACGCCGGGGTGCCGTCTGCCGCAGTCGGATCCTTCCCCAATGGTAAGACGTTACAGATTTGGAACTTGGAAATCTATTGTAAGAACCAAAACTATTTGCATGTAAATGAATCAAAGCTACAGCTGCTGATGTGTAGTAAGAAAGGGCATTAATGCTGCATTATGAATTTATGTTAATGTGAGATAATAATATGAATAAAAAACACGATGCTATAATTTTCTCACCTTTCAGATATTCTACCAGTGCACAGCAGAAATGAGTGCTTTCTAATTTAAGAAGAGGCATTTTCTTAAATTGTTTGTGCACATATGCATTATGTTTTGCATGCAGCTTTTAAACTAGTCTACAATGTGAATGAAAGGGGAGCTACAAATAAGCTTTCATTGGCTTTTGGTAGGTAAAATCCTCTTTCTGAAGAGCTTTAAGCTGAAGGTCAGTGAAAGAAACATGTTAGCAGAAAAAAGGCTCTTTAAACTGGTCATTTGGTCGAATTTGAAAACTTATTTGATTTCCTAAACCAAACTATGTTCATATTTGCCACTCTGCTTTACAGTTACATCTTACTTTGTTTTTTTGTGTGTCGCCTAAAACACCCTCAAAACACCCTGAAGTTTGTAACTAGAAAACGAGAGGATTGGGTATGAATACTCCTTTAATTAAAAATCTGGCAACTTTTAGGCAAATTATAAATGCCTAAACTCTAATATTTCCACATAGACTTTAGTTGTAATTATTCCTGCAAAATATTTCCAAGTAACAATATATTAAGACTGCTTTCATGAGGTGGCTGTAATGTGGGAGTGGAAGCAGCGGTAATTGATGATCAATATGCCATCCAGGCAACAGCTGAATAAATTTTCTTTTTAATGAGTTGATATGATTAAGCTCAGGCCTTTCCCAGTTGTTAATGAGGCAGAGACTGACAAGAAAAAATAGATATGGGAGTTTTTCCCTCTTTTTTTTTTCTTTTCATTTCTTATACCTACAGGATAGATTTATTCAGCCGGTGGGTCTGTGGAAAAAAAATACAAACTAAAATTGAAAGTCAGTCCACATAAGACGCGTATCATATCCTGGGCGTTAAGATGTGTTGTTGTAAATGCAGAGACGCACACCTCGGCGTCTCCCCACTGTCAGTGACGGCAAGGAATATTAATTGCTGTATGCTGGTTGACTAATGGACCCTAAACGACTGCGGTTCTGCTTGGTTTCAGCCGCTGCGTTCTTTGTCACCTACGAGTGCACCAAGTCCCTCCTCGGCGACAGCGGAGCTTTCGCAGCGCCGCGCACGGCACCTGTCAGTCACATGCTGGCCGCCTCCCTGGGAGAAATAGTAAGTCTCGCCATCCCTCCTTCTCCCTGCCTTTTTGCCTCCTCCGGTGTGGATTTCTCCTTAACCGTGCTCACTTTAGCTTGTTTTTATTTGCCTTCCATCTTCAGAAGGCCAGCTGTCGCTCTTGTTATTGCTCCTCCGTCTTCCTGCCCTCGCCGCTTCTTTCCCACCACTGTATATCCCAGATGAACACCGCTGGCATGCGTGCTAATGTTACTGCCTTTTACATTTCACAGGCTTCTTATTGAACGGGGGGGAGGAGAAGGCTGGAAGTGGGGTTTTTTTTGGCTGTGGGCCTCCAGGGTCCAGCTGGGCGAGTTAAGGGGGCTTCCTCAGGACTGTTCCGGTGTTTTCCCTACCAGCTGCGTAAATAAGATCTCATTACCGCCGATTCACTCATCTGCTTTCCCAGAGAAGTAACCCAGCCAATTTAGTCTGGGGAATTTAGGCTCGAGAACCTACGAGGAGCGGTGCAATTTCCTCAGCCCCTCCTCTCCCAGTTGCTCGAAGCGAGCCCCGTCGCTCAAGCCATATGTGGGCCGCTGGTATTCAGATTGGCATGAAGGGGGGTACAGGGATGGGGGGGCTGCAACCCGGGCTGTTTTGGTCTTCAGTATTCATAGCTTTTGGATAGATGTAATTTAGCCAAGTTTTGCATGTTCATGGCATGGAATGATTCCCAATGGGGGGATGCTCACTCTGTCTCTGAGAACCAAGGTTTTAAAAAGCTGCAAGTTCAAACCCACTAAAAAGAAAAAAGAAAAAAAAACCTGCCCGCCATGCTGTTTCTATTGGTGGAAGACATATTAGGCTCTTGCACTTTCTGTCAGCATGCAGGATTTTTAGAAATGCTTGCCAAAGTGAAATTGTCTATAAAAAAACACACTCTGGTGTGCATATTTGGGAGCTGGACATCCAAATGATTAAAAACAATGACATACAGGCCCACAAATGTAGACTCTGGCTTCCTGTGCAACAAACCACAACACTAGCTATGTTTTATGAGTAATTCCCCATTGGTCTCAGTTTTTCATGACTTTGTTTCCATTAACCTTTAACTGTAAGCTGAAGAAGTTACTGACTGAGATAAAAGGCTACATCCTGTGACAGAATCCATAGCCTAGTCCTGGCGTAGCTGCCCTCAGGATCGTCTCCTATTGAATTTTCATTTAATCAACGTTATCGCTTGATGGTTGGAGTCTAACAGACCGTGAAGTCGGCCATTTTTTCTTTTCAACAAACGCAGGAAAAAATAATATGGAACTGAAAATGACTATGGCGTAGTAAATTGAGCTTTCGTAGACTCTTGGAGTGTAGAGTGAGTGCTGCCCCTCTCCCACTTGTTGCTGCCTCCTGCTGGTCAGCTGGTGGAAAAAGTCATGTTTTTTACAGTTTGACTATTTACGAATATTACAAGCTATGACACTTTGGACAGTAAGCTTTAGAAAATGACTGAATTTAACAGGGCAATGTATCAAGTATGAATAAAAACTAAAACAACAACAAAATGTGATAGATAGCAATATTAGTAAATTTTCTAATTTAGTAAATTTAGCTAAATTACATCAGTAATATGTGGGCTTTTACTAGCATGCTGACTATCATTGACTTACTCCATTTAGTATGCAAACATTAGCATATAGGTTGAGCTAAAATACTAAGGTTAGATAAAATGCTGTCAGTAGTACGTTGATTTCCATGTTCTATGCAAACAGCAGCGAATTAGCTAATTAACTGAAATGCTAAGGTTAGCTGTAATAAGATCAATAGCAGGTGGCCTATCACTAGCATGTTGACTAATATGGACTTACTCCAGTTGCTTAATTAGCTACAATGCTAAGGTTAGTTGACATTGTTCGAATAAGAGATTCAGAAAAATCAATTTTTTTATTTTGCTGTTCATTAACTTCATCAAACTGAAGAACTCACTCCAACAGTTTTAGGTCCATAAATGCACCGACCCGTTGGATTCACAAACACAGCTACTACCTCTCTCATACAACCTCAAGAAAATACTTAGCTCACTTACTTTTGCATTTGAATCGGTCAAAATCGAATGGTAGGAATAATTGTTGTTTTTCTGTTTTAGTTAAAAACAATACAGGCTTTAAAGTCATTGCGTGAAACTGTGGTATTTTTCTTTAATCAGGTTTATCATAGCGTGACGTACACTCCGATCCACCCAGTCCAGAGGGTAACAACATGCCACTGTCTGACTACAACCTCTAACTTTCGTCCTGATCAGCTGCAGAGTGCTGCAGGAGTGGAGCAGTTAACAGACGGTGAAACTTGCCCGCTTCTGCCCGGGTCACGGGTGAGATGAATGTGAAAGGTGAGGCAGAGGTCGCCATCGCCTATAACCTCAAGGTTGGATTTATTCACATCAAAGGCACAAAGCTACAGAGCATGGACGCTATCCCACTGAATTCTGGCAACTGACTTCGACTTGAGAGTCTAAGCTGCAGGCTTATCCATGAAAGGCTCAACCCCAGCATTGCCCTGAGTTAAAAAAAAAAAAAAAAAAAAAGAGCCTTAACACCTGCGCAGTGATGCAACATCAGCCATTTATTATTCTGCCTTTCCTCAGTCATTGGTAAAGAATTTTAATCAAAAGTTGTGTTTTTTCCCCCCCTTAAGTCTTGCAAAGTGGTGAAAGCGTTTGAAATGGATCGTTTGGGTCTAGTGCCTTAATGACTCGTAAACACATTTAAAATGAGTCGGATAATTAAAGAGGAAGTTGTTGATGCATTTTAGTGCTAAAATGAACCGAGTTGCAGCCTAGGTCTATTGATAAAAAATTAAGTAGGTATTAAACAAATGGATGGATTTTTACTACTTGTTTACTATGTGCTTGTTTGTTTTCCCGTAATCTGTAAATGACAGATTACGGGAAGTAAAGATGGAAAAACTTGAGTCACTCAGACATTAAAGTCATTGTGGGATCCAGTGAACGGGATTTTAATAATTAGCAGCTTTAAATCTAACTTTAAAGTGACTACTGATTTGTTGACTTTTGTTTTAAGATGGAGGTGAACGGTAATGGCAGTATTGTAATAAGTCAGTAGTAAGAGGGCAACAATGAATGTATTCATTCAGAAAATCTTTGTACCGAAAAATCAGATACAACTTGTTCACTTTAAAGTTATCAAAGCAACTCCAAAGTAATTTAAGCATGTTTTTATTATCTTATGCTAACATTTTGACCAAACGTGTCATTATGGAGGACGCATCCTGCCAAAATTGGCAATAAATATCGACACAAACAACATGATGAAGTAATTAATGTGCCAGATATTGCATCCAAAAAAAATAAGAAATATGAACTTTTCGAACTTATTGGACTATTGAGTGTGGCACAAAGAGTATGTACCAAACTGTAATGTATGTCTGCCTTTGCTACTCCGATTAGTTTTTAATGTATTTAAATGTTTAGATTGATAGTCCCTTAGATGTCACAGAAATAATAATAATAAAAAAATCCCACCTTGATACACAAATGTTTTAGAAAGTTTATTTTTTGCTAATGTTTACCAATGCCTTTGTAATCACCAACCTCTTGTGATGTCATTGTATCAAGTACACAGAAAAGAATGTGAAGTAATTTTCTTTAGCTTACTTTTTAAACCTGTGTGAGATCCTGCAGGTATAACCCACACTTCAGCACCCCACTGCATTTCTAGTATCAATGTTCATTTGTGAATAGAATAAAATCCACCTCTGGATAGCTTCTTTAAAAACAACAACAAAAAAAGAGGAAACGGAAAAACTAATCCTATTTCTTTATTAACCTCTAAGACATGACTTCTAAGCAGAGCAGAAGGAAACAGGTTAGAGAAAAGGACGGTCAGAAGTCCTGCTTCTGAAGGAAGAAAGTGGCGGTGGTCGAGACGGCGAGAGAAAGTCCTCCCCCCTCCCCCTCCGTCTTCTCCTTCCAGAAGTGTCCTGGTGTTCGCGCGGCTGCAGATGTGGGACGCTCCTGTAAAGAATGTGTAAGCTGATGGCGTCTGTCAGGCTCTCGCAGGCTGTTATCTAGCCATTAGATCAGATTTATCTTCATTCCCATTCGCTCGACGTCTGCCCTGAAAGCTCATTTGTCAAGGCCAGGCAGCAGGGCTTTTCTCGCATCTGCAACCCCCTCCCTTCGCCGCCGCATGTCGACGGGAGGATGTTCAGCAAAATACAGTGTGACATGACAAGATAGGGGACAGTGAGAAGGAGGGAGCACGAAGGAGGAGGGTTTTTTTTCGTTTTTTTTAAGGGTGGGGGGACAAAGTGGCAACCACTTAACTTGGCACTGAGAAATAATCCATGCATTGCCTTTGAGCAGCTCCTCGCTCTGTGATTTATTGGCTGTTGTTTCAGAGTTGGAGACTCGCTATGTCCTCGCATTATCCCGTTTTACTTCACAACGTTTTCCCCCTCTCCTCTCGCCTTCTTCCCTCATCGTCACCCTAGGGTGCTGCAGTCAGTTTTTAGACGTTTTAATTTTTTTTTTTTTTAAACTTGTGACATCAGGGGTTTGGAATTAATCTTTTAATTGAAACTTAATTGGAGTAGTTCAATCTCATCTCAGCTTTCAGCTTGCGTGCGCGTTTCTGATCTGGAGCCAGATGGCAATCCTGATCCTGACTGACTGTGTCCTGATGCGTGCCAGTAGTTAAAGAGGGATGGAGTGAAGGAGGAGAGGATGGAGAAATGCAATAATTCATTCTGTTGATCGATTCACTGGTGATGCTGTTAACGTGCTTCGAGACTGCTAATTTCCCTTTCCTTACAGAGGTTTCGCACACGACTGACAGACACCTGCTCAGCTAGCAGTTAGCCAGCGCCGGTCGGTAGAAAACACCAGGCAGTTCAACACCTGCAAGTTAAAGACAGACGGTGGCAAGAAGCTTTCTGCGGAGGGCCAGAAATGCCAAAAGTAAATCTTAAAATCTTACATAAGTAAATAAATGTAAAGCTACCATCAGAATTTAATCGTGCCAATTTACTTCGTGACT